ATGCGAAAAAAGAGAAACAACAGCTGAAACAAAAATATGAGGACATATTTATGAACTGTTATGTCTCAGAAAAATGTAAAATCCTATTCTTTTTCATTACATTGCTGAGACTCATTGACTGTTCTCTCTGATAAATTAATCTATGATGTATTGAGAAATGTTACAACAATCATTTAGTACCAGAATAAAGGCTAATATCCATTCCTTACAGTAACTGTACTAAAAATAGCACAGCTAGCCCATTTACTACATCATCCTTCAGCTTTAATAGAAATATTTACTATTAACATATGCTAATCTTTTCTCCCTAATATCACATCTTTATTATTTCCTTGTCCATAGATTGTGTTTAAGACAAATACATAAAAATAGCACTAAAATAAAAAACAAAGTGAATGTCTCACACTCAACTAAAAAACAAGCACAAAATTGAAGGATGCATGTTGGAAATAATTTATTGCCTATAAAACGTTAAAAAAAATGTTTAAGTTCACATTTTCTGTGTGGTTTTAAAGGTGGTGTCACGTTTCAGAGGTAGTGTGTGTAAAATGTAATACAGAATTTGAAAAGAATTATTGACTTAGTTCAGTAATACAGTAAAATGTTCACCAGAACCAAAGCACTGACCTGAAACCATTTTCCTTACAGGAACATTCTTAAGTGCCTCTTTTACTGAAGAGGATTGCTCATTTGTTTAAAAACAAGAACAACAACCACCACAAGCCCAAGTTTCTGCCCCATTTGTGTCTGTCATCTTCTGACCAAAATGTCAGCTGCTGCCTTTCAGAGACAAATAAATACTCTTTAGTCAGAATAAAACCCTATTCTGCCATGGAAAAGGCCAATTTTGTAGCACCGCTTAGCCTTTTTTTTTTTTTTTTCTCATAACTTTTAAGATTTCACATTTGGCCAATGTGTGAAAATATTAATTGGGTAGAGAAATCAAACACCACAAACCAGCTTCTGTTTTGTCTAATAACTAGCTGGAGCTTTCTCGCTAACCATCCTCTAACTTTCATCAGGCATCTCACAACTGAGCAACTTACTCAACGTTATGATGATCTGGGGCAGAAAAGGCAGAATCCCAAAAATGCAAGTTGAAGGTTAGACAGCTGCCAGTCCTTCTAACACGTAAAGCAGTCTCATAGTTCACTGGCTGACCTGAAGGATCTGGGCAGCGGGACTGGAGGTAGTAAATCAAGCTTTTGGTTGTAACGTTACAAGTTACGAATTCTTCATGTTTCAGATATTCTGTGCTATTCCATTTATGCATATTATTGTCTTTCCTTATGCTATCAGTATCCTGAGACCAACAGTCAGCTACGACTAGAGTACCTAGGGAAAAGTTAGTGCTGTGCATTAGTTTCTTTTTAACATTACTAATACGGTAGTGCAATAGAGATCCCGAATCGGATAGCTGATCGATTTTAAGCAGTAATTTCCATTTCCACAAGAAGGAAGTTCATGATACTGTTGATTTGTCCTATCATTTCAACTGTATAACCACAAGAGTAGATATAGCTGTCTCCGTTTGGTGAATGGACTTCATAAGCTGCTTCCCAATTTAAGAAGATGAAGATACAACCGGTACATTCCTTTTTTTCACTCAGAGGACTGCAAAGCCCACGATCTGCTTGTCATTTTCAGACTTTTTATTGCCTTAGCGAAAAGAAGTACTTGGAAAGATTAAAGTGCAGTGCTGCTTCAAGAACCAAGCACTCAAGAAAACTGACACTTCTATGGTACATCTGTTCATGTACTTTTAAATCTGCCAAAAATTCACCTATTAGAATATTTACTATTACTCACTCCTGTTAGACCTCTAGACTTGACAGAAGCATCATCGGCAGGGAAATGAAAAGAGGCATAGCTTCAGGAAACAGCTTTCTTAACTATAAGCAAGCTTGCTAGCATCAAAGACTTTCATTGCTCCCTAAGGAGAGCGAGCGTCCTGTCTCTGGTTTAAAGCGTCTGTTCTGAACTACCTTTTTCCACTTTGGTTTCTTCAGAAAGACATACTTCATCATTCACGTTCCGACAGACGCATTAGGAATAAACAGCGCCAGGGAAGTCATCTTTCACAGACAGAGCAAATGAGAGCCTTTGCAGAAAGAGGATAAAAACATCAATACGTGGCACTTCTGCCGTAGCGGTTATTCGAATTACAGAGCCAAACCACTGAAATAGCAAGGGGGGCTTATTTCTGTCGTCGTAACACAACACAATATTAGCTTTATCTGTCACGGAAAGTCTATGCAAATGATGAACTAGCACTTAATGCGGGCTTTTGTTACCACCCTATGAAAAGAGGAAATAACCACAAACCAAATCCTAACATGCCATGGGCCCAGAGAGCCATCCCCATCATTTTCCATCACCTGAAGAACTTTCAGAATTTCAGCTGGAAACAAGCGTCCCGGTGACTGTGTATCAGAATGCAATGTCTGTCAGCAAGATGCTTGTCAGTACAATTACTAAGACGAATTAGGGAAGGAATATGCCCAGTTCTCTCATACCGTTCTAAGGTCCAGCCGAATAAGTTACATGGATCAGGATGCAATCTGCAAACTCGATTAGCACATTATGTTGTCGTCAGGGACACAAGCAAACTAAAACAAGCCCTAAATTACAAAGCACGTGTGCAGCGCTAGTCTGAAGTGTGATACTTGGATATGTATTTTCATAAGTCTCAAGGATGGTTAAGCGTTATGTTACAGCACCTCCTAAGCTGCTCTTCAGCCACTGTTCTGCAGAACTGTTGTTGCTGCAATGATTTAAAGTACCATTGATGGTAGTATATCATTAAAGTTTTTGTTTTACATATGGCAGGAAATACACACCAATATTGAAAAACAAAAGCAGAACAGCTGTACAGTATTATCCTATATAGCATTTTGTTATACAGGAATATAATTTATACTCTTTTTTCCTGAATATTCCTGTAATATTGTCAAGTGTTTCAGGGTATGAAAACATGACTACTTTGCTATGTTTTGTCTTGTCACCCTGCAAGAGAAAAGACCAAAGAACAACATGCCCACAGGGATGACGGGGGCGTTGACTGCAGCTAGAGTTTTGGCTGCACATCCTAAAGAGGATTCCAGCTTCCTTGAGAAAAGGGACTTACATAACTGCTTGGATCTGGTAGTAGTTCATTCAAAATTAATTCCTTCGATTTGTTTGGCATATGAAATAGAAGCAAGATATAGCAAAACATGAATCATCAATGAAAGTTTTTCTTGTATAAAGGTGGATGACTTAATTGACCATGAAATCAAGAACTCTCATTAAGAGCATCCTGCCTTTTGTCATGGGAATTTAAGTGGAAGAAGCAGGAAAATAAGGTCCAGATAGTGGCAAATCACAGTACTTTTTTTTTTCTTCCATTTCAGCAAAGCTCACAGAAAACAAGAGGTTTCTTTGTCAGTGGCACAAGTTTCCTATCTAGGGAGAACAGTAATAGAAAGCATTGTTAACCCAGTATAGAAAACCCTTTATAAATGATTTTTTCAGGATGAGCAGAATCACAGTTGAGCTCTATCTTACATTTGAAGGATAGTACTGTGATCTTTGCTCACAAACTTTAATTAATTTTAGATTGGTGGTCATTTCAACAGGCATGTAAAATACCAGCTCCTTCTCTGAGTAAGGCTATAAGGATCTGTCTGTCAGCCAGGATGAGACATTTCAGCTCAAGCAGTGAAAGGATGAGTAACCTACCACTTACCTCCTGGCTACACAGAGTGCCTTCCCTCCCTCCTGGGATTCCACTCTGAGTTTTAATGCCTAAACTCAAATACAGGCCCAACAGCTCGCTTTTGTGGGGTCACTCTGTAGAATAGATGGTAAGAGGTCTTTTGGGAACTAACTGCATTGTATAGTAGTCAGAACTGTGAAACTGTTTTGTTTTTTAAAACAGCTTTTAAAACTGCGAGTATCCTTTATGCAGCCTGGCATTTAACAATATTGCTAAAAGCTCCCCATGCCCAAGGACAACAGAGAGAGAAAAAAACCTGAAAGAACGGAGCTCATCACCGATACTGCGGGGGGGGGGGAAGGCTGTAGAAATGATTAGGGAGGAACTGACCAGAATGAGAAAACCCTAAAATCTGAGCTAATCCTAGTATTAAGGGGGGGGAGATAAAAGTGTTATTTCCCCAACACTCTGGATTTTCTGAGCTACACCTTGGACCTCCCACTGCAATTATGGGGATTACTTACTATACTGCATGAATAAGGATTCACCAGAGTAAATTATTATTTGGCATAAAATTGAAAGATCAGGCTTTTTACCAGACTGTGAAGGTATGCATTTCAAAAATGCTTGCTGAGGAATATTCAGAAGTTATAGAGCATCAATAATATGGGCATGCACCTACATGCTCCACTAAATTTATCTGAATGTGTCTGCACATCCATTTAATCAGATGAGTAAAGGGATTCAATGTCAACGACAGCTGGGAAAGAAGAAATTCATTTCAGCACTGCCTGCAATCAAGCTCACAGTTTAGAAATGGCACCCGGCAGTTGCCAAAAAATTCATCAGACAGGGCTACTTCAAAACCAGGTCACATTTAGAAGATCTGCAAAACTCAATTCCAAACACTTGAATACCTTTCAGGATGCAATGACAGCTGTGGATTTATGACAGTGTCTTGATAAAATGAAGCCAAGTTTGTGGAAGAATATATAACCAATACTTCAAACAATGAACAGAACTTCAGCATTCAGACTTTGACAAATAAAACCTGTAACTACATTCATAAAACCCTAAATAGTAGTGTAAACATCTAATCCCATTGCTACTGTGAGAGTATCAGAAAGTCGTGTTCTGCAGCTATCAGGTTTCCCATATCCATCTAATGTGTTACAACACTTATGACTGCTTCTTTACATTAATAATTTATTGATGATAATTCAAATTTTTCAGTTAGCCTTTCAAAGTTTTTTCAGCTATTTTGGTCAGGAAAATGGAAGATTCAACAATCTGAAGTCACATAATGAAAACCACTAGTTTAATTTCAGATTTTCAAAAGGCTTCAAGCACAACTCATAAAAAGCCTGTTATTCTATTTGGGTCCCCAATTTTTAGTCCACCTACCTGAGTAAAAATGGGGAAAAAAAAATAATAAACAGGACTGGTGAGCAAGCAACTCTGAAGAATTAGCTTTCTGTATAACAGGACATTTGTTTTCCACTCTTGGATCCCTGCTCAAAAAGACTTTGCTACAGAGCAAGAGTTATTCTGGAAAGTCGGAAGTTATCCTAATCAAGGCCAAACTGCTAAAAGTGAAACCCTTCTTCACACAGTTCTTTCATTTACCAAAAACAACATTCGAAATTTCTTGACAGTGCAAACTGTAGCCATGACACACTACAGTCATCCTTCAGGAAAGTCTACTTCACCTTGGGCTTTCTTTTTTGGACTGAAGAACACTGGATAGCAAAATGCCGTTCTCTTGAAACCTACACATTACGTGGGGCTTCTTTTTTGTCAATTAAAAAAAATAAATCACAAACTGTCTGAGGCATTTTTCTCCGATAAAGACGACAAGCTGAATGAGGTATCATCAGGCTCTGGGGATGCATGATTGAAATCCATTTCTTCTAATTCAGGAGGTAAGTCTGAGAGCAGTGCCTATAAGTAAAAAATATATTACAATCCGGTATTAGGTATATGTTTTATGTCAGCATTCCAATGTCTTTTAAACATATAGTTAAAAAACTTTCTTGAGCTTTTCAGTCAGTGTTGGTATTGGATAAATGGAGGGGGGAGGGGAAGAGGTCAGTATTGATAGATATTGAAAGGAAAAACATTGTCCAAGATGATGTATTTTAAAGGCAAAAGGAAAAAAATAAAAGCAACAAAATCTCTTCCTAAATAAAGCACAAAACGTTACCCACACAAGACATGATCCAACCAAGCATTAAAAGAAGTGCTATGTATTAAATGCGGCACAGTGAAACTGAAGCAGCCTGGCTTTTTTTCCTAGATCTCACATCTTAGATCTCACAACAGACAAATCCCAGTCCCTCAGTGTACACTGGTGCACTGGTTGTCCTTTTGTAAAAGTCACACTTCTTTGTCTATGTCATCACTTACGTAAATTGCCAGATCTTTCTTTTGTTTAAAGTTCAGCTTTTCTTTGCCTACAAGATGTTCAGCACGACTCCGCCCTAATCATAATTTGAGCCTCTGGGCACTATGGAATAAAACCAAGGGAATGACAGAACACAAAATGACAAACACCTTCCATTATTAAAACCTACTTCAAGACTTACCTGCTGCTGTTCTTTATCATCTGATTTAATAGCAAGTATCAAACTCCGAGTAAATGTCTGTAGTTCAAAATACTTCTGTTTGTGATTCTCCAACTCATTCTCAATGAATCTGACTTCTTCATTCTGTAGGGGACAATTACACAAAATTCTGGAAATAATAAACAGCACTGCGTCTTTTCAATGACACCTAAACATACTTGTGTTAAAACTAAATGTTTTTAGTGAAAATAAGTAAAAAAGTGTTTGTTATGATTCCTGCCAAAACCAATATTAAGTATAGCCAAAAGTTCTGTAGTTCTAGAATTATCGAGCAATACACATAGACTTTGGATACAAGTAGAAGTTTCTGATGAATGACCAGTAGTGTCACACTAAACCTGCAAACATGTATGCAATTTCATTTCTTGTTATTCTCCACAAGAGATGTGATAGCCAACCATGTAACATGCAGCCAAGGCATTTCAGAATTACTGGCTATCATTAAAGCATTAATAACTTGAGCCAAAGTTTGCATGAACCTTTTAAAGAATCACTGCTTTTTATTTTATAAGGATGACCTCTAATTCTATTTTAAAATAAAGGTCTCTTCCTAGAAGTGATCTTGAAAAGACAGGGTGAAAAGAGACAGCAACTAAATTTCATTATTACAGCAGGAGGCTTGACACAAAGACTAGGCAAAATAACTTGAAAAATTCCTCAAAGCTACCACAAATTAAAATATAGCATCCTCTAGTACAGCTGAGTTTGACATGTATCATGAAGTGTCAGCTCACCAACCTCCCCAAGATCTCTCAGGTTACAGAATAAATAGGAATGTACTTACAAAATGGAGAAATATCAATAATGTATATTCTGTGGCTAAAAAGGCATTTTTCCAACCTTTGCATAAATATGCATTACTGTACTTGCAAATCACTTAATATAAAAACTTATCAAATCTGAATTTTTAATTAAGTACTTCAGTTTATTCCAAATATCTCTTCTCCTTCAATCTCACCAACTGATTAGTATACAAGATCAAAATGCTAAATCTGTTCATCAGTGTAGAGCTAAAATGAATTTTCTCTGGTTATTTACCTTTGCAAAGATCACATAACCTAAATAAACAGTTCACTTTTCAAGATCGAAGTCATTGTGCATTTTTGCAAAAGGTGTCTGCATAGTAGCACCAAATGTGCATCCTCCGTAAGATAATAATGAAGAAAATATGCCCACAGAAATTGTTAGCAATGCACAATACACACAGAAAGTAAGCATTTAGGTTACACAGATAATTCATGTTAAGTGTTGCATTTACCAAGGGGTAGAGGCAAGAAAAAAACCCACCCTTGCTTATGCAACTATATGATTCATTAGGTTGGCAGTTTTGCATGCAGTATGTTCCTTGATGGCTGGTTTTGGTGGCAGCAAATAATTACATAAGCAAATTTCAAAAGTGAATTTATAAGCTGGCATTTTGTTTTAATGATGAATTTTTTTTTTTAAGAAACATAGAACTATGCTCTGATATTCATGCTTACATTTGCTAGACTGGCTGTAATTCAACTTTAGTTGATATGTAAAGGTGAGACTACATGATGAACTGGAAGGTTTGTAACAAGCCTTTAAAAATGGTTGTTGTTTGTTTGCCCCCCCCGCCCCCGAAAATTCACATTTCTTCAGTCAGAACACTGCTCACCATATTGTTTCAGGTTATAACAGCTCTGAGAATAAAAGAAATATTTGGGCTGTGATTTTGAGGCTTTCATAAGAAAGTCAGCTGAATGCATCTTTCAGATGGAAACTTAGAAGTTGCCTATTTAGCAATGGATTTTGCCCAGCCAAAAAAGGAATTCAGATTTATGCAGAAAACACATAGGCACAAAGACTAATCACTAATGTCGAACAACAAACCAACAAACAAGGTTCTGTAGGGCATGCTGTCACAACAAGCCTTTCACCGTGGTGACAGGTGACATTAAGAAAAGGTCATTCCCTCTCCATACTCATTCTCCACTGCCATTACCAGGAAAACACTGCTTGAAGGAGTAATTTTTGCTCTGAAAAGATGATCTATTTATTATTTTGGTAACTGATTACCATTAGTAGAACATACCTGTTTTCCAAGTAAAAAAACAGCTTTACATAGGTAAAAACATGCTCAATATACAACACCAAACTGTGGCAACTCTTAGAGCAGTAACACACACACGTAACCTTTACCATTTGGCAGAAGACAGTGACTGTCAGGTATCCAACTGCTTTTCCTCCCTCCCGTAACTACTGCTTCCAGACATGTTCTGCACTACACTGTGAGAATGACTTCTTCTCAGATCCCCCCCATTTTATTAGAAGATTCCAGCTGTTACGTCCCTTTCCAGAGCTGGCAGCATCACGCTGCATGTAAAAGCACACCACAGCACTCCAAAGAACAATTCTTGCTCAAAAAGAAAGTTTTGGTTTAGAGGCTAAATAAATTGCTTTGTTTGGGACACATGGTGGGAGATGCAGATGGCTACAGCTAATGTAATGCAAAGAAATGGGATTTTTCCTGCCTCCCTCTGGGTTGAAATACGGGTAATCTGGCTGTAAATGGGATGAGGAGATGTGACTGAGGGTATGACGTGCACTACCGCAATAAAAAGCAAAGGAGCTGCAGGTTCCCACATGCCTTTGCTGAATTCCTTACAGATACACCCATCTGAATGTCCTGTGGACCATCCTGCTTAATATTATATAGCCTAATTACTCACCTTGTAGTCCAAAAGAGAACTCATTTGATCCACTTCAGAATTACTTATCATATCACTTTCTTCATCATCTATAATTTCTATTTTCTGAAACAGAAGGGAACAGTTCATTCCAAATATCTGAATGCCTAGATTAGACAGACAAACAACAATCCATATCTCAAACTGGCATGAAAGGATGAAGGTAACAGGACCTTTTGCTTGCTCATGAGAAATTCTGAATTGTGCAGCCCCCATTAGATGGCAATCATGCACCTCAGCCACAAGATCCAGGAAGAATCCAAATTGAAACTGTCGGTACTCAGAGCTGCTGCCATGGTGACTCAGGCTGTTTACAGAGGAGGAGCTATATGTCACCATGCTTTTGGCATTAAGTTGCATATTGTATCTCATTACAGCCTGCACAAGCCTGCATTTTATTCTGTAAACCTTTTGTTGAAGACCTCCTGCAGGGCGAAGAAGGTTATGAAAATTTATTCCTCTGGAGCAAAACAGACATTGTGGCAAGTGACAGGCAAGTCCTAACTGACCTACTTCTTGCCTAAAGCAATGAAGAGGTCTCCTTTGGCCTTCTTTGGCCATACTGCAAGTCAAATGCCCTACACAGTAAAGAATGTTGATACAAAGGACAGTTCCAAATACATACACATGGACATTTTCACTTAAGTCACAAAAATTCTTGGGGGTTTTTTATATTGGGTCTTTAAAGATACCTGAAGTACAATGTTAAAGGCCAAGCTTAATGCTGTTTAGAACTTGGAAATACATTCCAATTGTATCTCAAGTTTTAAAAGATTTGCTTTTACATTATTTACCACTTGCATGTTCTGTTTTTCTTCCCAACAGAAAACCTTCTTATGTAAGAAAATTATGTTAAAACATTATTTCAATAGGAGAAAACACAAAATGTACACATTTTTAGTGCACCTATAAGATTTTAATTTTTTATTCATCTCTAAGCTACATCTCAAACACACAGAATGAATTTGAATTAGATAGTGGTAAGAATGGCATTTTTCAACAAGAACTCAGAAGGATGACTGCCCAGATGAAACCATAAATTTCACTCTATTTTTGAGAGGGAAGCAGTGGTAGTATAAGAAGAGGTGTTTGGGTTTTTATACTATTTTTCATTGTTTTGACAGCTGTAAACATTTATAAGACTGTATATAGGAAGTTAAAGCAATTTTACTATGGTTTTTAGTATACTGTTTAATACAACGTAGGCAAGGGCCCACACTGACACTATACACTTTAATGGTTAGTTCTGGAGGTGTTATTTTAGAGGAGGTTTCTTCTCTGCAGCATATGTGTGTGCCTTCTGCCTGCCTGCAGACCAGTCATCAGAAATTTCCTTCTAATAACCAAGAAGAAATCCTTCAAGAGAGGTTAACAGTCTCTCGCTAGTAGTACCCACCAAGCTCACAAGTATGTGTTAATGGTAGGGAGGGTAAACCACATTTTCTATGCTTCTGTGTCTGACAGCCCAGCTGAAGTGATAACATTTCAAAGGCTTAATGTCAAAGATCTGCTGCTATATCATATCCTGAGTAACACTGTGATTCAAATATCTTTGGTTTTAGACTCAGCTTGAGGAAAGAGTCTCTAAATAAATGCCAAACATTCACACTATCATTCTTATAATAATATATTTTAAGATAGTAAGGGAATGGACAGTTTAGAATTTCAAATAAGAAAACGATATGTCTTAGGCAAGTCCAATGTACGTTTGTCCAATTTTAACTGCAGAGATTTTAAAAATGTTGTTACAGTGTTTTCAGAACAGAGTATGAAAAAACTACTTCTCTTTCCCCCCCCCCCCTCTTATTATATCAAATTATATAATGCTGGAGTTCAGGTGGACTGGAGAACTGAGTCTCTCAGACATCATCTTTGCAAACCTTTTACCTTTGTCATTTTACATTCTGCATCTCCATGGTAAACACATCAGCCTGAAACTCAGAGTGATTATATCTAAGGTCAGAGCAGGCCATTAAGGTAAACAGAAAGGAAAAAGGCAGCTGTTTCTATTCAGGCAACCACAGAAAATACAGCCGTGGGATTTCAGTTTATGCGAAAGATGATCATATATTAACAAAAGAAAGAAAGTGTTCTCTCCTGTCTCTCTCTCTCTCTCTATATAGAGGGAAGGGAATGTCCTGTTCGCTTTCCCACTTCAGGTTCCGTGTGATTAATGTAACACAAATGTTCTTGTCATGTTCTGAGCTACTGTCGTTTAATCTCCAACTGCAAAAAGAGTGCAGTTGGGAACTGGAACCATCACCTGTTCATTCTGCAGATAACTTTTAAGATAAAAATTACCCTACCACTTGGGGTCTTCTCTCCTCTTCCTCCTCTCCTTTCTTCTAATTTGAGAGAAGGCAGGCTAAACAAAGGGGATATATCGTATTATTTGCTATGACTCCTCCCTCTGTCTTTCCTTCCTTGTCTCACTGCAGTCAATTAAAACCAGCAAGAACAATTGTGTTTGACTCAATGTGAATGCAAGGGAGAAAACAAGAAACATCTAAGTAATGTCCTGACAAGGGTATGGGAATGAAGAATACACACCCACCCCAGTCTGATCTCACATATTCAACGTTAGCTACGGAGAAGCAGCACTAGGAAGACCTGACTTTCTTAAAACTACAGAAAACCATTTTCAATTATTATTCTGGGTTTCTTATTCTTACTGTTTTACTATACTAGGTACTTACAGAGCACTACCCAAGCGTTGTGCTTTGCACTCCAGAAAAAGAACACCAAATTGTTATAATACAGAAAAAGCCATATAAGTCAATTTCTTCTGAACATGCATAGCTCTATGTTTTAGTACTTTTAGTACAGTTTCTTTTAGTGCTCAACCAATTAGGAAGGACTCTTAGCACACTCAACTGAAGTTTTCACCTAGTGAAAAACACTAGTGTTGGACAACAACCTCAACATTAGCAATTAAGGAGGTCCCATTAGTGGAAAAGGAAATGTATACATACCACATTATCAGTAGATACTGGATTCTGGTCATCATCTTTATGACCGATTTCCTCATTTTGAAGAGCTTCATTTGTCTCTTCTGCAGAAATAAATCAGTTTTTCAGATTTCATTCAAATTTTATGCTGAAGGAACATTAATAGTCTTTACCACTAAATATGTCACATCTGCTAGATACAAAAGCAAATTCATATTATCAATGTCTATTCATAAAAAATACTGTATGTCTTATTAAAAAAGATATCGTATTACAAGTATTTCAGGCCAACATCATGTCAATTGCTACCTGAAACAACAGGAAAACTATCAGTTACTTTCTTGCAACATACTAAAACCTTCCTATTTTATGTTCAGGTTGGAATATTCAAAAGTGATGATAGTTTCACATCAGAGGTGCACAGAACTTTTTTTTTTAAATTAAAATAAATTACTACATGAAAAATCCTGCATGCCTCAACAATATAGGGGACATATGAGAATCCCACCTCCTCCTTGCTGATTAGCTGATACTGATTAGTTTTGAACCCAAAAATGATCAAGCAGATTACGTCATTCTTGTATGGCAAATATTTGCTCCTAGTGAACCTAAGCTGCTCTCTTATGTATAAGTAAAGTACACACTTGAAAACAGAGCAAATCTTATCCTTAAATTTCAACCACAAGCACTAGCTGATTCTATTAGCCCTAACTATGGCCAATGTGAAAAAACAAGAAAGATAAGCTTATTCGTCCCTACGATTAAGTACATTTCTCAGATTTACTTAAATTCTCCACATTAATATACTGTTAAGAAGAAAACAGTTGATAGAAACAGCAAGTCAGGAAATAAAACACAGAGGCAAGACAGCTATGATAAAAAACGTAAACGATGTCATTAACAGCTAGGCTATTAATTGGAAATACACTGCTTCCAAGTGCTAGTAAAATTACACAGTTCTGCAAAGGATAGAGCTTGCATTAAAAGGGTCAAACAGTTCAGCTATCACATCTAAAGAGAAAAAGAGGCATGGTGAGTGAACGGGCAGCAAGCGTTCATGTGGGACACTGAAAGAGGGCAGATAATGATGCAGGGGTGTATCACTTCCACGCAAACACAGGGGTAACATTACTTAACTGGAGATTACCAACGCTTGCAAAGATAGGATAAAATTTAAGGCAGACCATACAGAGATAGTTAATTATTTTAAATAAGTTTTCTACCAATTAAATATCTCTAAACTGAGCAAATTTGATTTGAAGTTGTTTCAAATAAATTTAATCTGCCACTGGTCACAATTTCAGAGGAAAATTTCTGCTAGCAGCAAAAGCAAATGGGTTCAACTGGGAGAACTGTAAAGCAGGGAGCAATATAGGACCCCATCGTTCGAGTCAGAGGAAGGAAGGTCATTGAAGATGCACCTCAGGGACTCTGAAACAGTCTAAAGCACCAGTCACTTGCTAACCCTGACAGTCACCACTTGGATTCAATAGTCGAACAAAGCAACTCCCTACAGCACTTTCAACTCTTTAAATATTCATCCTCAGCTAATATAAACTGGCACAGCTATAATAGCCTCCACAGAGCTGTGTTCATTTACACAAAGTATGGATTCAATTAACATACATTTAAAAAAGTTATGGCATTATGAGAACTTTAATGCTTAATTTTGCATCCCAGTACAGCTTTTCTTTTTTTTTTTTTTTGTAATATTTGCACACTATGTTTTAAAAAGCAAGTGCCATCAATGCTTTCTCTCTAATTAGGTGACTAAAAATATCTTTTTCCTGTCTCTGAGAGTGTTGTGGTTTTGGTTTTTTTTATAAATTAGGACCAAAAGTTATAGTTCTCAAACGTTAAAACAATCAAATACCTGTGACTGAATAGTACACATGATTATTGGAAGAAATATTTTCCAGGAAATTCAAAATAAGCTGAGCTGCAGCAGTGAAACCTACTCCTTTGAACTGGAGAAATTAATAGAAACAATTCTTGTGGTGGAATAAAGGAATGAAAGAGGGATTCCTCTTTCTTATGTGGAAATCCTACCATTTTCTTGTACTTCCTTAAGCTTTGACTCTAATAATCTACTCATAGTCTTACAGCCTTATCTTGTTTTATGAAAGCCTCGTTCAATAAATGTGGTGTTATTCCTCACCTTAAGCTACAGAGAATTTAGACTCTTCCCCATCACCATTTTCTTTCAAGCAGATCTGACTAAATCAGTTCCTTCCACACCTCAGGCAAGTCAAGGACTCTTAGATTCTGCACCTCACTTGGCTGTCAATCAGTTGACCCATTTCTTTATCATCTTATTCTCTTTACAGTAGAATATGACAAAGCTATCACAAATTCATGCCCAGCAGTTCATTTTTCTAGTTCTTTCCTTTAAATTGTTCAGACAAAATGACAAGATCAAGTCTGGTATATTAAGCTGCAATAGCATGCACTAGATCAGGCTTTCTTTTAGTTTATAGAGCAAAGGCTTTATTGATCTCTTCTAATCAGAAGCACTGGGAGCAATTAGTTGAGCTTGTGAAGCTGGTGAATGTGCTGAGCAGCAGTTCATCTGCCCTAGGCCCAGAGTGCTAACGTACAAGAGGGAAAGGGAGAGATCGATTTAATGTGGTCATGCAGTTCTGGGAGGTGGAGTAAAAGGGAATTAAGTTCGAGACACTTATCACTCAAGATCATGCAATTTACTGAGAACACACAGGCACCCCATATGTGTAGTTCTAAGGCTTCCTGAGTAGTCCCCTGCTACTGACTTTGATCTTTTCTGTTGGTTTGTATTTGCTTGTCAGAGACCATACATGCACCGCAGACAGCTTAATGGCAGAAGTTCTGCTATGCTCTGACGTACTGTGAAGCTCTTTTAGTCCAAGACCAAGTCTGAGCTAATAAATCTTCTGAACATCTCATCAGCATGAGTTTAATATCAGGAAAACTCTAAGTACATAGCTCTGGTCAGCTCAAAGCAAGCAGGTTTGCACACATTAGTGCTTATTTAGATGAAAATTGTTGGTGTGGTTCAGGCTAATGGGAATGGACTCAAGCTGGCTGTGCAGAACTGCCCAGTTAGCAGAGAGCATTTTTTAAAAACCTGGCTTCCTAGGGAAGCAAGACTTATACATTTGTACTGTCTGTCCATCTCTCAGTTGCACCAGCAAATTGTGAAGTTGTCATTTAACTTCAGCTAAATCTGGCAGAAACAGAGGTCTTAAAATAAAAGGTTTCTGCAAGCTTTGCGATAACAAACCCAACAAAATTCATATAAAGAGAGGCAGAAGAAAGAGACCGAACAGTACCTTCAATATAGCCAAGGTAGATAACTTGTGACTGTTAGACACTCTTTCAGACGTTTTTGAATGTGTACAACAGAGAATCGAAAGCATGCACACTGCACAAAATTAAAAATATATGCACAGTAGTAACTGCATTTTCAAATACCTTGTGAGCTTCCTTCAGATAAGCAGATTGATACTTCATCATTCCTATCATTATCATCCCCCACTTCAGTAGCAGTTTCCTCTCCTGGATTAAGTGCTGATTTAGAAACAAATTCAGATTGATCAGAGAAATCAGCAGGACCTCCTCTAGGGGGTGGGACCTCAATCCCCATTAAACGATATTTCCGTCTTCGATTCCCAATCCAAGTCTTGTAAGAGAAATAAACATGAATGATATCAGAAACTATAACAAAAGCAACAGGCCCACAACCAAGTGAAATTAGCACATCTATACTATAGGAACAAGAGTGTAGCCAGCAATTCAAGGGAGGTGATTATTCCCCCGTATTTGACCCTCACGAGGCTGCTTCCTGGAATACTCTGTCCAGGTTCAGTCCTCCAATACAAGGGAAAAGGGAAGGTGCACAGCAAAAGGAAAAGAAGCAACATTGATAAGTCACAGCAAGGGAAGCTCTGACTGGAATTAAGAAAAAAAAGAAAAAAATAATGCTTCACACTGAGGCACTGGAACAGTTTGTCCATAGGAGTCTTGGCACTTCTAATCTTGGAGGTACTCATCATTTTACTGGACAACATCCTGAGAAACCTGACCTAACTCTGAAGTCAATCCTGCTCTAAATAAAGAGTAGGACTAGGTGACCTTCTAGGGTCTCTCCCCACCTAAATTATTCAATTAATTTAATGTAAGATCTTTGATCCAGGTTCTCCCACTCTGCAACTTTCATAAGGGGACTAAAAAAGCATCCAATGGCCCAAACAGCCCACATCTTCTAGGATTTCCTACAGCACAGAAGAAGTTGTCCAAGGTGATAGCTCTACATCACTCCACTTTGATGACAGAACATAACTTGGCAGAATTAAGTTCACAGCAATATTATCCTTAAGTCCTCTTTGGTTGGAAGACAAGTCTTTAAGAAACATTGCTTGCAATAAGGTATTTAAGAGCATACTGTAAGCAGTGGTGGGAGATGAAACAGGTCCAAGACCAAGGAACCTGGAAACACATTCATGATCAGATGGGTATGGATGCTTTAAGTTCATTTTACATCAGTAAAACTGTGTTTCAAAAAATAAAATTAAAAAAACCCAAACAAAACACATTCAAAATTCTTCAAGTGGATCTGTGTAACTGTTAACTAACTTGCTTTCTCTGATAAAGAAAAGTCCACACTAAAAGTTATTAAAGACTCAAAATAGAGTTTATGATGTAATAAGATGTAATGTGATGTAATGTCTGCAACTCTTCACCTCTTAACTCTCTCCCTTCCTTTGCATTACTCAGGCTTTTGACTTCTCATCTAATTTCAATTCTGTTTAACAGCTCTTGTACTCCAGTCACTTTGTTCCATCCAAGTCAGTTTTCCACTGGCAACCAAAAATCCTTCTCAGAGCCAGGAATCAACTTATTTGCCAACTGCTAACTTCCAGTCTTCTTGACCTGGCTCTCCTCCCACCGCTACATCATCTAAAACTCAATAAATAGGAGCAGTGATGACAGCACTAGTGGGACTATCCTCATTGTTCCAGGATCTGACCACACGCTGGCCCAGGACGGAGAACGGTGAAGTTTGGCCACGTAAGCTATCACTATACAGAGTGTGCTTGATTACTGCAATGACGATGTACGCACAGCATGGTCATTACGAGGTTCTGAATCATGCTTAGTGCTGGAATTTCTGGATTGCTAAAAATCAAACACAGCTCTAGAAAGCACAGGGAGTTCATATTTTTGAAAACATATGATCAGAGCATGGCAAAATGCACACCCTTTCCATAAGGTCTGTGTTCCAACAGAGTTTACCAAACACATTAGAATATTATAGGATTTTTTTCTCTAAAGATACACTAAACATTACTCTGGCTTATTTCAGAAATACCTGCATTGCTCCTCTTTCCCATCACACTTCAACCACAGTTCTGATATATGGCATGAAAAGGTTTAGTAAAAAACTTTTTGCTTATAATGCCTTGATTATCAAATAGAAAAATTAAGAAATATTAACAGCAGTCCCAACTACTAAAGATAGTTCCATGCTGTGTCAGCCTTGAAAAAAAAAAATTTTTCTTAAAGCTGAATCTCTTTAACTAGCTAAAAGATGACATGCTTAACACTATTTTTAGCTAATCATTTTTGTTGGGTGTTATTTGCTTTCCCAGCTTGCCGATTTTCCTCTTTGAAGAATGTGAAACAGGTACACAGAGAGCTACCTAGATATTTTTGTACATTATATACAGTTTGGGGAAAAAAAAAAAAAAAAAAAAAAAGAAAAAAATAAAAAAAAGCACCCCCTTCCAAAACCAGGTCTCTTTTTTCCAAACAGTGTATTGCCATTCTTTAAATTTTCTCATAATTTTATGATGGTAATAAATAGTGCTAATGACTACAAAATTTAAAAGCGAATCTGCTTCTTTTTTACTGAAAAATTCAGAAAAAAATTGAGGCACTTGGGAAATGTAGAACTTGTCTTTTTATATACCTTTCAAAGCATAAAACCTTTCATTCGACATACTGAATATGTCATAGAAGATGAACATATTTTTATAGTGTCTCAAATTAAAATGGGAAAGAAAAGTAATAAGGCTCCATACCCTCCATGCTACATTTAACAGTGAATATTCTGGAGCAGTACAATGGCGAGGGTGAGAGCAGACTAGTATTTCTACATAGGAAACCAGCTTAATAATTCTATATCCCTAAAATACTACCTCCTTAAAAACTTCAAACATCTGTAAAGCGCATGTGATCAGACTCATTAAACCTACTTACAGCAGCCAGCAATGAACTCAGAAGCAACTTCCCCAGTTTCAACTGAACAGATGACCGGCAAGAGCGAGGGAAGAAAGGCTGGAGTCCAGGCAGAAGGAGCCAGCATATGTCTGCCCTCAGGCAGCTTACAAGTAAGTGGACTGGCAGGGAGCCACTTAAAAAGCGTGATTACAGCTCTCCAGATACTGAGGTTAGGGTGTCAACGTGCTAGAAAGATTCTAGGTTGGAACCTTCAGAAATTCCACTTAACTGAAAAAATAAAGATGGAAGATTCCGAGTTGTTTTTCCAATGTTTCTCTTGACCACAAGCCAGATCCAGACTAGGCCTAGAGCCCCCAAAAAGAAGAGCCATTAGTCAGCTGCGAAGAATGAGTGGCCCTTCTGCTGCAACTGCTCGATTTTGCTGCTAAACTCAGGCTGAAGCACTACCTTCAATAATCCAGCTTTTATCTGATGAGCTGCTGGGAAAGAGGAGGAGGTATCTTTAGCCTATGGTGGGTGCTTAGGAGTAGCTTTTGACCTCTTATGTACAAAAGCTTTATGTTCTATTAATAAAAAAATTAAAAATTGTCATGCACTTTTCTTATATTCCTCATATATTTCAGAGGAGTTTGGTAGTTGTCACCCGTCCTTCTCAAATGTCTAATGCCTCGCTGCCAAGACGACTATACTGCTTTCAGATGCTATTTTGGTATGAATGAATAGAATTAGTCAAGAGAAATATAAACAAATATGTGTAAGTAACTACAAAAAACACACCAAACAAATGTAATCAGCAATAATTATAACATAAGCCAAAGAAATATTGTAAGTTTAATGAAGTATTGGCCAAAGTTCACATATTTAAATATAACATAGCTCTTTTTTTTATTTCCCTCTTTTGGTGTCTTGGGAACATGAAAGACATTTGAGGGTGCAAATGTTCATGATGTTCAGGTACAACCAGCAGTCACTTTGCAAGTCCACTCTCCTACTAGAAGTACAAAATTTACCAAATAAAATGCCCTGTTCAACCTTAAAAGATTAAATCCAATGGAACTATGCATAGTGGCAAACACTATCTTTCCTTGTACTGGAAAACAGATCTGATACTTTTTGTACTGGAGATCTTTCAAGCCAGTATGGGTCATAAGGATCAATCATTTGTACTTCTCCAAAAGCAACATTTATCTGGACAAATCATGAATTTCCATTAAAAAAGGTATTAAAAGGGAAAAAAGGAGACGTGTATTTACTTGAATTAAAACAAGTGATATGTATATATAAGTATTTTAGTTATATATATTTATAAAAACTTATATTATTTATATAATATATATTTGTTGTGTGTATTATTTGATGTATATGTATTTTCTTGGTCTTATATATGTACTTAGTACTATTTGACATACACTATTTTTTAATTTTTTTTTTACATCACCAATGGAGAAACAGTTGCTAGTTGCACACTACCTAGAATTCAAAGTAGGGTGAAATCCAAAGGCAACAAAGTACAAGTACTGAAAGTGGAGAGCTTTTTCCAGAAGTGTCCCTCAGTCCAACTCTTCTTGGCTGAACATGCAGTAAAGGGTGGAGATGCCGTGGTTCACTCACGCCTTACAGCGGACTGCATCATGGCTGTGTCCTGACTCCTTAGGTGAAAAAGACCGTGCTGCACACTAACCTCCATACATCAGTGTTTCCTACTGAAGAAAATGCAGGTTGGCAGGTAAGGAGAGAGGCACAATATGATGTGCCTATATAGATCCCAGAAGAAATTTAGGACAGAACCTCTAGAGCACATGATGGAAAATACCTGTCCTACAGCTGGTACACACAGAACATGCCCTAGAGAAAGGACAACAGGAAGCACTGAAGTTCACATATGTCCTGTAGCATTAATTCAGCCTTTACAAACCAAAGAAATAGTACAGCATAGTGCAGGACCAACCTCCACCTAATTCTTACTACAGTTCTCAAGTCTGCCATACAGAGGAACCAGAGACCAAGGTAGGACAGATACTGGCAACACCACCAGTTACTACGAAGAAAAGAAATCTTTTTGTTCATTCATGTGTCTATGTTCTAATACAGGTTATGCCAGAGAGTCTTACAGAGTTGATTAGAGCCCAGTATACCTACCCTGAAGACAAAAGCATTTCAAGCAGATGCAACTGAAAGATGTATACAGAACTTCATACTGTCATCGCATGTGTGCCAGTAAGGATGTTCTTAAGGGAGCAAAGTAAGGGAGACGAAGCATGGGTATCAGTCTTACTGTTCTGTGAATAAGGTATTTCATATCCAGGAGGCCCATTTTGAGATGCTGTCAGTGGAAACAGCTTCACCTTTCAGAAAGCAAACTGAAGAGCTTGGAAAATAAGGAGAAGCTTTGTTCTCTACAGAGAAAAGAGTAATTCTTTTCAGTCTCCAAAAGTAGAATTTAATTTTTTATAATTCACATGTGCTTAGGAAAACAAGCAAGTAAATAACCAAATTAGTGTTCAAAACTGAAAGTAGCTTTGGTACCATTTTGATACACCAACCCAAGAGAGATCTCCATAAAAGAAGAGTTTCAAATAAGGGCTCCTAGTTCTGCTTTTGTAGCAATGTCAGAATTTTAAGAAAGAGGTGGAAAAAGAAGATGAAGGCTGAAAGGACTAGTCACAATTGTCATGCCTATTATGAGTGAAAGGAAGACTCATGTTTTTGTACTGACTACAAAGACAGTCAGACTCTTTTCTGAAGAATGGAAACACTCTGAGCGAATAAGACACCCACAGTTTGAGAGTGATGATGTGTCTGGTAATTGGGAATACAGTGGCAACAACTGATGCTGTATCAAACTTCCCAACCTCTGGAAGAGATAATGTGCAATGGTTCTCAGGAATCACGTTATCTACACCAAACCTGTAGTTCCTAAAGCAATCCTTCCTCAACGACACCTATACAGACTATCAAATTAAAGTGACCCAGAATTCTTTGCGGTACCCTTTGCCCTCTATCACATCTCAACCTGGCTTCAGGACAGTCTTGTAAAATTTTTTTTTCTTATTTTTGAGCATTTTCTTTGCTATGTTGACAATGATTTTTTCCTTTAAGCAGTAATGAGAAATATTTCCCCTGTATTTTTAGAAAGGCTTTTTTGTATCTTAATAGCAATCTTAGTAGCACTTTTCAGTCTTCTAGGATATCCCTAAAAAATGTAACACTTTTACCTAAAATCTTACTCAAGTCTAAAGAGAACGTCAGACAGCTCATAGTGCTCCTGCTGCTGCTGATCAATAAGACTCTTACCTGAGGGCTTTTTTCTATATATAGACTGCAGAAAGAGCAAGAGAGCACTTCCCAACATGGTCATTCATTATGTAATACGTGAAATCTATTTCAAGCTTCCTCATGAAATTTTTAAAGGCTTTCATCTGTCCTATTTTTGCTTCTGCGACAAGATAAGGGAAGACTCTAGATTTCTTACCCGCACTATTTCACAGTCAACATTTAATTCTGCAGCCACAGCTTCAATTTTCTCTCTGCAGACTGAGCCCAGGCTGGTCATGCCATTGTCCCAGTATTTCTTTAGGGTAGCTAAGTCTCGGTCACTAAATTGTGTGCGGTCCTGTAACTGTAAGATAAAAAAAAATACTGTTAGACTTAAAAAAAATTCTGCCTATGCTATTCATTTAATTTCCAGAGGTCTTGCATACAGTAAGACACACATGTTATACTGTCTCCATGGCTTTTCTTCTCTTTTAACTCTCCCTTAAGAAATTTTTTTTTAAGTTTGTTTTTTTATCCAGGGCAGTACAGAGTTCCCTGGGATTTGCTTTAAAGGCAATGGCAGTGCTAACACAAGTTTAAAGCACTTCAGCTTTGTTTCAACTCCACCTGATTTTTTTAATTTGTTTTATCTCATTCTATAAGGCCTTACTGAAAATAACTTTCTTCCCCTTGTGCTGTTTACTCTCTCCACCCAATTTATGCAAATTATTCCTTAAGGCTTTTCAAGTTTCTCACCCTCCCCCACCTAGAGTTCTTTTATCTTACTGCAAACTACAATACATGCATAATTCAAAGGATTCTGAGTTCCTAAAGGGAATACTTTAATGTTTATTTGGTAAGCTTCAGAGTTTAAATTGGTTCCACTGTTTATTTGCAAGTTCCCTAACTCTTTGTGTACATTTATCAAAGTATGTGATAGTGGATTACTGATAAAAGGAGTAACACTGAAAAACAAATCCTAGACATCCTACCACTCCTTGAACTGTTGTGGGCATATGGTATCATTTGCTAGTAGAACTTACAAGCTTTATCAAAAGCTTTTAGCCCAGAATTTTAACCAAAATCTACAGTTTCTTTACACCAACCCATGTTTGTCACTTCTCCTGCTATTAGTAGTACATAAACGCAACAATAAAGTCTGCACTAGTAAGCTGTAGCCACATGTGCCAAATTTGTCATTATTTCAACAGTTGAATTTTGTAAGACATAATCATGATTTCAATAGCTGAAATATGCGTTTGCTCATTTAAAAACTGTTGAAAGTTAGAATGAAATAACTTTAAAATGGAGTAAAAATAAATTTTGCAGAACTAGAATCATTTGACAATCTTCTACAGTTACCAATTTTAATTTTTGTTAATCTTCAGAATATGGTAATCCTTGCAATTTTCTTCTTTTAAAAATTACTATTTCTAAAAAAGTTAGAAGCACCTGAGTCTCCTTAATGTATGAAAATAAAATAGAGGTATCAAACCCTTGTCTCCTTGAAATAATCCCAGGTGGTCCAGTAAAAAAAAAAAGTACCAGTTATATTCAAATATGGTCCATTATTAACTGCTACCAGGCACTCCGATTTTTTTCTTGGCTATCATTTCATACATTCAGGTACAGAATTAGAGAAGCTGCCCATCCATCAGCTGACGTCCTACACACAGGACCCCAAGAGGTTCCCCGCAGAGCGAGGCGGGAGGTGCGGAGAGCCCGCGGGCACACCACGCACGCTGCCCGGGCGCAGCTCTCCTCCGGTCCTGCACCTATTAGCAGCCACGGGCCACGC